GATAAAAAGAAAAAATTCTTTTTATGTTTAGGAGCCGAGAAAGATGTACCCGCTTATTTTCTGGAAAACATGAGCCAAGCCAAGAGAAGTGAGTAACTATATCAATTTCGCTTTGTTTTTCTTTGCTTACCTCATATAACATCATAATTTTATCAAAAAAATAAATATCTAAAAGGCTTATTTCGTTATTAGTATAGTTTCATAGCTGGGTCAAACTTTCAAAATACTGACAAAGCAAAGCAAAGATATGGGTAAAACCTTTGCTTATTAAAGTAAATTGCCCATATGAGCCTTAATAGCTCAACATCCCGTGAATTAAGCTTTAGTCGTGAATGTTAGAAGCTTTTGCAATGAGATAAGCTGTAACTAAAGTAATTAGTAAGGTCCCGTGTGCAACAATTTATCAAAAGTAAGTTTTTAAGATATTAGGCAACAGCTAGAAGCAAAAGTCCTGATTTGACCAAGATGATGTGTCTTAAATTGTATTGTTATCAAACTCCAGCCATGGATATTCATGAAATTGAGTTGGATCTACATCATTAAAGCTAGAATAGTTTCTTTTAAAAAGTCATATCAGATCATTTTAGGGAACCAAATTGGCTACACATATCAGGGTTTTTTTGGCACTATTACTAAAGCAAAAATAGCCGTTATGATATTAGCTCAATATTAGGGGACCAAATTGTCTAACTATGGCATTTTGACTCTATTTTTGAAGGCTGAAATAGACCAAATGTTAGGGTCGTATTGGCTTCTTTCAGTGAACTACAATCAYGGCTACACATACCATTTTGACCCTAGTTGCTATATCTAATACAGTCAAGCAATTTGTTATTGTTATTTGTTATTTGTCATTGTTATAATAGTACAGTAACATTGTTAAGCAGTAACAGTATCAGTATTTTGTATATAATTTTTCCTGACAGAAAAATGATCCAATTCATTTATGACCCAAATCCCCAACACCAGAATTCCAACACCAGTATCCCAATAACATTTTCAACGATATTAGTGGCACAATATGTTTTATAATATGTTTTTTTTAGTTTCCCTTGACTGTGATTTTGARACTGACTTGTGCGCATGGCAATCAGTCCGAGGAACCAATCGGTACCCATGGGCTCGACATACTGGGAGAACACTC